ACCCAGCTAGCTGCTGTAATTTGTGTCTTAATTCATAGCCTCTTAACATAGTACATCGTATATGTCCTTTGACAATACACGGGGGCAGCTATGCTGCCTTTTTGAAGAAAAATGCCCGGAATTGTGCTGGCTTAAAACTTGAGCTCCAAGGCCAGAGAGCTAAAGATTTTCTAATCTAGCAACTTGATTATTTAATTTCCCCGTTTCTTTGTCATTTCTCCTAATTTACCACTTCTAGCACAGAACTTCAAATGCTAGGTGGTGGTACAAGAGAGTTTGGGGAATTTAGTGTAAATGCGTACCAAGTGTTGAGTGGTGTTGAAACAATGGAAAGGAAGTACTGTATTGAATAAAAATGACCGCTAATTACGCTTGAGACTAGGTAAACGTGTGGCCAGAACTAGGGGATTTAGGAGCTGGTCTGCAGTAGTTTTTTTTAACACTATCTCAACCATGGCTGAATTGTATCTCTAAATTTCAAAGTTTTATATTGACTCATGACATTTCTTATAGGTGATAAATAGCATATTTATCCTATGTTTACTGGAAGGGTTTTGATAAGCCATCTTGTTAGAATGGAATTGATAACATTTTGCGTTCTCTTCCCTCAATAGATGGAGCAGCGTATTGTATGGGACGTATGAATTCTGACTGTTGGTATGTTTGACACAATTTTAAGGAATTGTTTATTTCTTTTTATGTAAGATGTATATTAGATTGCCAGTTACCATCTTTAGAAACTTATTTCCATTCTTTCATAGGTACTTATATACTCTGGATTTCCCAGAGAGTCGAGTCATCAGCCAGCCAGATCAAACCCTGGAAATTCTGATGAGTGAGCTTGACCCAGCAGTTATGGACCAGTTCTACATGAAAGATGGTGTTACTGCAAAGGATGTCACTCGTGTAAGCTTTATGGGACTGACTGAAAGTTTTGTTTGGGTTAACAACATTCACAATTTGTTTTTCAAATTATTTTTTTAAATACTTTTATTGGGATCTCTTACATCTCTTATCACAATCTATACATTC